TGTAGATTCTAATCAAAGGTATAAAGCTGTGCCTATAAATAGAGGCCATATATAATGTATTGAGTACACTTGAATGGAATGAGAAATACTCTCTCTTGTTGATCCTCTCTTTCTCTGTATGATTCTTCTCTCTATTTCTTCTTTATTTATAACAATTTATTAATTATTTTTAATTTTAATTGTTTTCGATGCAGATTATTTCCTCTGTATTTGTTTTTCTTTTGGTGTTTTTAAAGAAGCATGAGGTTGTTGGAGACTTGAAAATGACAAAAAAGGGGAGAGTAAAAATTGAACCTAAAAATAAAAGAAAATAATCAAGGGAGGGGGTGGACGTATTATTAATACTACCGATCTTAATTATAAGAGCTAATTGACTAATTTGAAAAAATTAAAGAAATAAGTTAAGTTAGTTATTTGTAATGAATAGATATTGTCTTTCCTAAAATATTTTTACTAATTAAGTGTGTTAGTTAGAACTATCATTATTAGAAGGATTTCTTTGAAAATGGATTGGGGTCTTATATTTATGACCAAAATAAAAGTCAAATGAACTCTTATATTGAGGACCGGAAATAGTATCTTTTTCAAAATATATCTGTTGAATATATGAATTGACTTACTGACTTATTGTAGATGTTGTCTGTTTTTTCTTTTTAAAGGTTAGCAAATAGGGTGAGCTTATGGTGAAATTGGAAAAATGGAAGCACGCTTAATATATAAATTAGTTAAGTTAGTTTAATTGGTACAAATAGAAATGGAACAAGTAACTCCTAATTTTAATAACGTTGATGAAAAAAATCTTAATTTAAATATAGATAATAGTATTGGACAAGATGACATTTGTAACTAACGGTTATTTACTTTTTGTAAGATAGGGAGAAAGTAGGATTAAGAGTAAAAAATACTCATAAAAATATATCAAAAGTCACCCAACATCATGATCTTTTTTAAGTTCAAATCTACCGATTAAAGTTTAAAAACAACTCAAAGATACTAGCCATTAAAATGCAATAACGTCCATTAAAATTGTTTGTGAGACCCACTTTTTTAAATAAAATTACTAAAATGCCCCCAATTAAAACTGATAAAGTTAAAGATAAAAAATACGCATGAACTTATATCAAAAATTTGCCAAACACCATATAATTTTTAATAAAAGTATCAAAATACCCCAATCTCAAAAGACTGTTGCATTAGGATGTGTTAGAGATTATTGATTATAATACATTTTTATAATTAAAATAACTCATATAAAATAGTTTGAGTTTGAATTGAATTTCTCTTCAACGATAAGTTGTTTATATTCCCAATCTTTTTATTAGTAGACATTATGGTTATCTTTTGAAAATAAAGGCAACAAAATTCTTTTACATTTATATATATATTTATCTTTTAGTATATGTTATCAAATTTAACAATAAACATGAAATTTCTTTTATGTTTATGTTCAATTTTTTGAAAGAATTTAAAACACTTTTGGTAGTGAAACCCCAATATTTTTAATGAAAGCACCTAAATAGTCCCAATTAAAAAAAAAAAAACAAAAGAAACCACCATATCTCTCCAACCTTTCAATGATTTTTTCGATTAATCTCCATTCCAAGAAAAAAACTCACTTTCTTACAAGATGGATTCAAATTCTTTATTTCAATCAAACTTTAGAATATTTTCATATAATTTTATTATAGATATAATTATGAATTTTTAAATTAAATTAAAAGTATGAAAATATCTAATAAATTCTAACCAAAGAATTAAAATGTAAATATTTATTTTTTTGCCTTTATTTAACAATTTTCTAATGATGTTAAAATATAAAATATGATAAGTTAGAAAAATATTTAATTATTATATATAATATCTATGCTATTAAAATATTTTCAACCATAATAGTTACAACAATTGACTGGTTTTTACTAAAAAATTGGATGATGAGGAAAAAATTTATTAAAAATAAGCTTATTTTCCAACAACATACCTATAATGTCTACTTAAAAAAAAGAGACTGGGGATATAAACAACCTATTGTTAAAGGGCAATTCAATTTAAGCTCAAATTTTTTTATATGAGTTATTTTAATTATAAAAATTTATTATAATTAATAGTTTCTAACACAAAAAATACAATAACCATTCAAAATTGGGGTATTTTGATATTTTTATTAAAAATTATATGGTGTTTAATGAACTTTTGGTATAAGTTTATCAGTATTTTGGACCCTTAACTTTTCTATTTTAATTTGGGATATTTTGGTAATTTATTAAAAAATTGTAGATCCCACAACCAATTTTAATGGATGTTATTGCATTTTAATGGTACTAGTATTTTTGAGTTCTTTTTAAACTTTAATTGGTAGATTTAAACAAAAAAAAAATCATAGTGTTGGGTGAACTTTTGATATATTTTTATAGGTATTTTGACTCTTAACTCAAGAAAATATTTTGTCTTATTTATAAGAAGCTTAATTAAATTTCTACCATGAATATATTAGTTTACCTTTTACATATATTGTTACTACTTCCAATCTTTAATATAAGAGCTAGTTGATTAATTTAAATAAATTTAAAAAGTTTGTTGAGTTAGTTATTTATAATAATTAATGTTTTTTTTTAAAATGCCATTGCTAATCATGTATTAGTTAAAACTACCATTTAATTGAATTTTTAACATGTGCAACTACTATAAGAACTACTTTGAAAAAATCGATAAATATGAGAGACAAAGTAGATTAGATTTTTATATTTAGAATTAAATTGAAAGTCAAACTAACTCTTATATTAAGGACTGGATGAAGTATGTTTTAAAAAGTGTACATTTTAATTAGGAGTAAAATTAAAAGGTTATTAAATTTTAAGGCAAAGTTAATAACAATTAATTTTTTATTATGGCTAAACATGTTTTTTTAAGCAAAATGCTTATATATAAGATTAAAAAGCATCAGTTAGGGGCATGTTTTGGTTTTCACCAAAAACAAAAAACATAAATTTAAATAAAATTTATAAGGGCGACCAGATGAACCCCTATATTCAAAATCTATTCTCAAAATATTTTTTTTCAAATTCTATTTTCTAAAATCCAATCAAAATATTCACAATTTTACCTATGATGATGGAATTGGTGAGGTCTTTCTTTATTCTGTGCTGGGCTTCTCACCTCCGCCTTTCTATTTCCTATCTTTCCTCTACCTTAATTAACAATCAATTAACAACCAATAAGATTGGATCTAGTTAGTTTCATACAAGGTGAATCAGGGTTCAAATTCCTGCTGGGAGATATGCTTATATTTAGTGCTAAATAGTGTTTCAAATAGGATTGCTTCTAATAAGAAAATTTCTATACCTAAAAAAAATCAATTAATAAAACACAATCAATTGGGAGGAAATAACATAATTCAATGCCAAAAGGAGATGAGTTTTTTTGGTGTGATTTCCTTTGAGGACGGCAGTGAACTCTGTTGGAGTAAGGGATTTTGATTTTTGAGTAGGGAGAGCAGAAAGGATGACGAATCTTGAAGATGAAAGGGATAATAAAGGCAAATTTTTTTGTCTCAGATAACAAAGTTTCTCCAATTTGAAAGTTGAATACAAAATTTTATTGGATAGATATCAATTTTTTGTACATAATATAATTATCATTAATTTTGAATTTAGTTAAAAAATTTATATTTGTATGATTTCTAATTTATAGATTTTTATCCACTAAATATATTGAATTTGGTATTTTAGTGTTTTCAAATTTTTCCAATAACAGATAGACTAATTTTGTTTTTATAATTTTATTTTTAATATTTTCCCTAAAATTGTCACATTATATATTATATATATATATATATATGCGTATTCATCTCATACAATTTATGCTTTTTTTTTTGTCATTTTACCTTTAAACTTGTCTTTCAATTAATTAGTCAAATAATTTTTAGTTTATTAAACTAATTTTGTCGGAAAAAATCAAAATATAAATTTCATTATATTAATGATATTTTATTTTAATTTCAGTTTGCAAAAGCTAATCAAAATAAAAATTACTTTTACCAACACTAATTCAAACAAGTCAAGATGCTGAAACAACATAATTTTCTTAAAAGATACTTATTCCATAAATTTTTTTTGATGATATATATATATATTTGTCTCGGTAAATTACAGTTTACAACAAAAAGGTTGCAATAGTTATCGTGTAAAAACAATAGACTTACTATTTTTCCAAAAATATCAATAACCTCCCATTCTTAATATAGGAAATAATTAGGGGTTAAGTTTGATTTTAAATATAAGACCTGTATACATGTTGAGAGAATTTGTATCAAGAATTATTTTTAATTTTAAGGCAAATAATTCAAGAAGGTATTTTAAAAAAATTAACATATATTTTTGACAAACATAACTAATTTATTTAGTTTTTTCAATTTATTCAAATTAATTAACTATATATATATATATATATGCCTATATGCCTATGAGGGAATGGGTATTGAGTAATATGGTGTAAAACGGAATAAGTTTTGGTGCTTGTCAAAGTAATAAGCACTAAAAACTCATCATATCTAGATTATTCAAATTTAATTTGGATGGTTTAGATTTAATTTTTTATTTTTATTTTTAAATAAAAATTATTTTTAAAAAAATTATAATTAAAAGGTTATCTTCATTTTAGATTATATACCTATTAAAATAATTATTTTAAAAAATAAAAAAAATAAATCTAGACCACCAAAATCATATTTGAATGGTCCCATATGATTTGCTTGGTAAAGCACCGCAACTGGGTGCAAAACTCCTAATTTCCGAGAAAGTTAGTTTGGCCTAATGCCCCTGATCTCCGAATTTGGCGCGTGCAAATCTCCTCATTATAACTACCTGATTTCTTCCAATGCATCAGAAAAATATAAGCTGCCTGATACTCACCTTAAAATATAAAAATCTCCCATTTAGAATAAATAAGAACGAGCAACAATATATACGCTCACGTTAGAATCCCCGGCTGCAAGGCGAACTGCCATGGGCGACGAAGAAATCGGAAAAGCCACAATGTTGCAATCGAGCACTAATGCTTACGCTCAAGCGCAGGCTCGCCGGAAGGGCATCGGAGTGAAGGTGTGGCTTGTCGTGTCGGAGACTGGGCAGTCGCACCTCGAGGAGGTTGACAAGCATTCCATCATGAGGCGCACTGGCTTACCGGCGCGTGATCTTCGTGCTCTCGATCCAATATTGTCGTACCCGTCCTCCATTCTGGGACGCGAGAGAGCCATCGTCATCAATTTGGAGCACATTAAAGCTGTGATTACGGCCAAGGAGGTCCTTTTGATCAATTGCTCTAATGCATTGTTTGCTCAATTTGTTCAAGATCTTCAGGCTCGCGTTTCTACTTACAGTGGAGCGCCTCTTCAAGTAATTCTAAGTCATTTCTTTCAATTTTCATCTATGTTCTCCCTCCATGGAGCTTTCGCCGTAAATTTGTATTCATTTTCTGTTAATATAATTATACCTCATCACAGCAACTGCTGGAAATCGAATACCGTTGTTCGGTAAACTGAATTTATGCTAGGATAGAATTGTTTAGATAAGCTTGTGTTCTTTCAAGAAGCAAAAAAGGAAATCGAAACCCCCGGGTTGAAAACATATTTATTTTTAACGTTTATGATCTTTTCTTTCTTATCAAAAGCACTTCTAAATTTATAAAATTCTGCTTTTCGAACAGGTTTAATCTTAAGTCCCCTGCTGTCTCAAACCACTTATGGCATTGCACATATCATTTTTTACCATCTAATAAAACTGATTAATTATAGTGAGAATTTATGAATTCTGAACTGCATTGTGCAGATGAGTAAAGAAAAGGATCCTGAGTTCGCAACCAATCACCAGCTTCCTTCCTTGCGCAGTCGTCATCATTCGAATTCAACCAAAGAAACGTCTGAGAACATTAACAGTAAAGAGGATAGTCATAAGAGTTCAGATGACGAGCCAGTGACTGCAGCTCCTAAGCAGCTGCCTTTCGAATTTAGGGCACTTGAAGCTTGCCTTGAATCTGCATGCAGGTGCCTTGAATCTGAGGTGTGTATTATAATTATTTGTTCATTTGGCACTTCCATATCTCTAATGATGCTGTTCATGGTGCTTTTTTTTTGGGGGGGGGGGTTGGTGGTGTTGTCGTTCATCGTGCCTAAAGGCACATTTTGTTATTATTTCTTACATAGATTTATCATTAAACAAAACGGCTGAATGGTATTGGTGTAAATATCTTTAGAGATTCTATTCTCGAGTCGAGGTATACTTTAAATGGGAATAATGAACACGAAGGACAATTACCAATTCCCACTTATAACTAGTCAAAAGATGGGCTAGGATTTGAAATTTTGTGATTTCAGAATTGTCTATTTACTTTTCCGTGGTGAGTGGAATGCTTATCTTTTGAAATTCAAGAGGGTGCGTAGGCGAAGATAATAGATGCATATTTTTTTGCTTAGGGAGTGCCTCATCGGAGGTGTCGTCTCTCCCTTTTTGCCCAAACCTTATAATCTTTGAAGTTCAGCCGTAAATGTGGTTCAGTCGTAAATATGGGGACTGTACTCTACAAATTCCATTTGTATTTGCGTTCTTATTGTTTTTGGTTCAGTTTTCCGGTTTCCTTTTTGGCTTTGGCTTTATACAATGTACTGTATATAATAAGCTCGAAAGCTGGTACTGTACTTAACTTCTTGGACCTGTATCAGACTCACACATTGGAAGAAGAGGCTTACCCAGCTCTAGATGAATTGACTTCTCAAATTAGCACACTCAATCTTGAACGCGTGAGACAGATCAAGAGTCGTCTGGTAACACTTTCTGGTCGTGTGCAGAAGGTAAATAATCATGCACTCTCAGACAACGCTGATCACTTACGGATTTTGACTAAGAAATATTAACCATTTACAGGAGCATTGTGGATATGTTGCCTTTTCTTAATTCTTCCTGTCACTTGTGCTGGTTCATGTCTTCTTAAAGTTTCCTAGCCTTCGATTATGCAGTTGTTTATTTCTACTCTCATCTTGGATTTTGCAGGTACGAGACGAACTGGAGCATTTGTTAGACGATGACAATGACATGGCTGAAATGTACCTGACGCGTAAACTTGCTTCTCGCTCCCCAGATCAATCATCGCCAAGAGAAGTTTCTCCTGTTGAAGAAGATGATCACAGGTGCGAACTAACAGCCGGATTTTTTTTTTCTTTTTTGCTTTTTCAATTTAGAAAACAATCGTTTTCCGTCAGAAAATACCCAAGTATTGTATTATCCTGCACAAACCTGAAGCATAATAAAATAATAAATAATGTTTGACTCAAATTTTATTCTGCGTGCAGAGCTGAAGATTCCAATTCAGAGCACACTAACATTTCTACTACTGTTAAGCCCGACGTTGAGGAATTGGAGATGCTCATAGAAGCATACTTTGCTCAGATAGACGGCATATTGCAAAAACTGTCCGATGTACGTATCTCTGAAACTCTCTTTTTCTATCTCACTTCCAATTCTCAGAACTCCATATAGAAGATTTTGTACACTGACTGACTGATATATCTGCTACTGGATAAAGATGAGTGAATACGTGGACGACACAGAGGACTGCATCAACATAATGTTGGACGATAAGCAGAATCAGCTGTTGCAGGTAGGAGTAATGCTTAATACAGCAAACTTGATACTAAATGCCGGTATCGTGGTGGTGGGTTTGTTTGGGATGAATATTCGTATCAGCTTGTATGATGGAACAAACAGACAATTCTGGGAAACAGCGTTGGGAACACTAGGAGGCTGTGTTGGATTATACTTTATCGCTGTTGGATGGGGTAAGAAAAGATATTTGTTGCCTTCCTAGGTTGACATATATGTACGTAATTTGCCAATGGGAGGTAATTAGTTTGTAGGTCTTTAGTTTGACCTTTCGTTTTTGGCACACTAGGAAGTGGGAAATGACCATCTTTAACATGTGGGGATTGCATTTTATAGAGAGAGAGAGAGAGAGAGAGAGAGAGAGAGAGATTTTTTTTTCTTTTTTGTGGTGACAAGAGAGCTTTTTTTATCAACCAGGGAAACATAATAAGGGAAGAGAGGGGGGCTGCTTAAACGTCTTAGAAGGAATTATTTAGGGTTAAATATTATTTTTGCTTTTAAACTATTTTGTGAGAAGCACTCGTATTCTAAATTATTAGTTGGAGGACTATTGCCATTTAAGTGGTAACATTCTTAACATCGATAGCTAACTCCATAAAAATTAATAGTTTTAGGGTATTTTTGTTTCTAAAATATTAAAATAATGACAATTGGCACCATAAAATTTAATAGTGTTCAACAATTGGCACAATCATTTTTCTTCTTATTGGAATATATATCATTATGTTTATAATATTGCATGGTTTGCCAAATAAGATCCCTCAATAAAAAAGCCTATAAACACAAACTAATGTATCAATTTCACAAAACTTGTATACTCGACAATTTCAAATATAAATCATTGGATTCCAAAACAAAGTATACAACACAATTGGATTATGGACAATTTGAGACCTAAATTATAACCAACCATAAGCCGAAAATATCATAAAATTATTAAAACATTCATTTATTGAACTGGTTGTGACAAGCTCATCACCATCCCATGTATCATAACTACTATTGAACATAAAGTTAGTTAGTACTTTATAAATACTTTAAAACATTACTATGGTTGAGACTTTTTTTTTTTAAAAGTAACATTACTCAAATGAATAGTTCATGATATTTAGCGCCGCTCGTGAAATAGTTCAGGGGAAAAAAAGCTTTGTGACACAAGAATGTATGTACGATGACATAATAAATAATATTCTTTGTCTGTTTTTTTAATTAATAATTCACAATTATCTGTGTGAATTTAACTGCTTACATAGTTACATAGAGACAAGATTTTTTTGATCTAACTGTTCACGATATCTCGACGGACAAAGGAGTGCTCCCCCAGCACCACTGTTTATAAGATTTTTTGGTTTCCTTTCTAAGACTTAATTACACAATTTTATAAAATTATTCATGACCAGCAAACGCTTCAAGTCATTTTCTTGGTATTAAAAATATCCCAACCTTATGTTTTCAATAGCATAAGTCTGTTATATCAGTTCATCACTAATAGTTTATATAAATATCTTCAAGCAAAAACAAAATTATATAAATATCAACATCAATATATAATCAAATCATAATAAGCCACACCACATAAAATATTTTTAGTCAATAAATTATAATTTTAACGTAAAAATATATAACTCCAAGACTAAACGTTATTTGAATTAAAATAAAATTTTCATGTGCATAATTGTATTAACTTTTGATGTATCAAAAACATATTAATTTTTTTGGTAAAAAATAATTTTTAATTTTTAATTTCATTTTTACCTCATAATTTTTTTATAAACATATATATTTTTTCTTAGAAATAATTCTAAACACTGAAATTTATACCTCCATGTGATTTTGCTTTGGGAAAATATCAATTAGGTCCCACTCAAGGGAATTAAATGCAAAAAGGTCCCTTGAAATCATGAAATTATTTTAAAGTCCCAAAAAATTTTTGCATTAAATTTTATTTGTTTACTTACCAAATTACCCTTCTTTTTTTTTGTTTTAAAGTTTGTATTGACAACTGAAAGAGTAATGTTGACAACTCAGGATGCAAGGATTGACAACTATCGCGGCTGGTTTGACAACTTATGGCGTGATATGCTGAGAAAATGTGTTGTCAAACCAGCCGCGATAGTTGTCAATCTTGCATCCTGAGTTGTCAACTACTGCTTTTTCAGTTGTCAATACAAATTTAAGGAAAAAAAGAAGGATAATTTGATAATTAAACAAATAAAATTTATTACAAAAAATCTCTTAAGACTTCAGAATAATTTTATAATTTCAAGAGATTTTTTTGTATTTAATTCCCTTGAGTGGGACCTCTTTGCAATTTTCCTTTTTGCTTTTGGTTTGGCACTTCTTTTCTTTTTTCCCTTGTTGGAGTACAATTCTTAACCCGTGTGGCGCTTCTTTTTAAATAAACAGTCATTACCCACCCGTCACGCTAGGCACGTCACAGGCGCATGTTCACCGCATCCACATTTGAAATGACCAAAACAACGCCAACACCGCGCAGTCATTGGGCAATATCGACCGCCAACTTATCCTCACCAACGACAGAACCCAAACTCGTGGCTGCGAATAACGGTCATTGCAATTCATGAAGAAGACGAATCCCCCTCTTCTCGCTTCTACTTCTTTCATTCTGCAATGCTTCTCGGTGGAACTCTGGTTGGCTTAGCTTCCCACATGAGCTCATGATCACTTACAGAGCTTCAAGTACCAATCTTGGAGCTCAATGCCCTCCATGGTTACCATCAAAAGCAAACCCACGGTTTCTGAAAAGCCCTTTCCCAGGCAAATCTTCTCAGCTTAAGAAGGGTTTTGTGTTTTCCTCGACTAGAAGGGTCCAGTGGAAACCCAGAAGCGACTTCTCTGTCAACAGCAATCGCTATAACAGAAACCCCGGGAAGGAAGGCAATGTTAGGCAAGACGAGGAGGGTGAGCGTGAGGTGGTCTGTGAGGTCGAAGTGATATCATGGAGGGAACGGAGTGTTAAAGCAGAAATTTCCATCGATGCAGATATCGAATCAGTTTGGAATGCTCTTACAGATTATGAGCATCTCGCTGATTTCATCCCAAATCTTGTCTGGAGGTATCGAGGGTGAAAAATTCTAACTCTTGTATATTGTATGGTACTATGTCGGTGGTTTTTTCATTGATTATAATTATTATTTTTTGGGTTAGTGGGCGAATTCCTTGCCCTTATCCAGGAAGGATATGGTTAGAGCAAAGGGGCTTCCAAAGGGCAATGTATTGGCATATAGAAGCCCGCGTTGTATTGGATCTTCGAGAATTCATCAATTCAGTAAGCCCCTCTATTGAGTACAAGCAATTAATTATTTACTTATGAAGCTTAATAATGGTAATGGACCAGTGGTTACTTAAGCCGCTCTAATGCTTTACTGAAAGGAAACCTGTAGTTCCCTCCTTGGAAGCTTTATTCTTGTAATTGCCCTGTGACTTATGGGACCGGTAGCCATCTGTCTGTTAAGTGTATCTAAATTTGAATGGGTTTTGCCAAGAATTACTGCATTATAATTCCTCCTTCTGCTTCTTAAAATTGTTTGTAGTATTTTATTGATTAAGGTGGTTTTGATATTTCTTTCAATGTTTCTCGGGTTTCATGATTAGATAGGGGATAAGGATAGAATATCCACGTGAAAGAAACTTCTAATATTACATATACTTTTGTTTTAATGCTTCAGGCATGTGATCGAGAACTTCACTTTTCCATGGTTGATGGAGACTTTAAGAAGTTTGAGGGCAAATGGTACTTAAAATCTGGAACAAGGTAGAATTTACTTCTAGAGTCCAATACTTAAGAAACAGCCTCGCCTCAATCTTAACATAAGATTTTCTAATTATTATTTCTGAACTCCTTGGACGTGGTAAGATTGCTTTGATCAAAAGGGATTTTTGAGTGTGGCTTTTCAGTCTAATGAAGCTCATATTGAAAGGTCAAATGAAGCTCTAGTCATTGGCAAGGCTTTTCCTTCAGGGTTTTATCAGGAGACCTTTATGATAGATACGGAATATTGATATCTGCTGATTCCATGTGTAATACAAGGGCATTCAAATATAATTTGAATATTTTCATTGAATGTTTTGGGTAGTACATCTTGCTTTAATATGGACCAAAATGCAGTGAAGGATTTTGTTTTTGTCAGACCTTGAAGCAGCGGTATGCAGTATTCCATTTCCAATGAATTCACAACATGAATATTAAGATGGGGATGTGGGGATCAAGGAGCATGAGAACGAAAAACAAATTAAATAATTTACGTTGTGTAATAATTGTCTGATAATGAATGTAGGTCTGCTCATTGAGTCCTCCCTCCTTTATTGGCTATAACACAGAATTATCGAATAACATTGTGGGGTTACATTTCTACTTCTTCTTTTTTTCTTTTTTCTTTTTCACTCCAATTCTATCTCTTGTAGGTCATCAACAACTATTTTGTCCTATGAAGTTAATGTGATACCAAGACTCAATTTCCCAGCTATTTTCTTGGAAAGGATAATCAGGTCAGATCTTCCTGTCAACCTCCGAGCCTTGGCTTATAGAGTTGAAAGGAACTTGTTTGGAAATCAGAGACCTTCAGTGCCAGAAGATTACCCTAATAAAGCTTCTGTGGCTGTAAATGGGTCAACTGGCAAAAAGATAAATGGAATTTTGCATGAAAGTGAGCAATTGTCTTCCGGAGAGAGCAAAGACAGTCTTGCCAGCTCAATTTCTGGCTCCTTGCCTGTAGCTTCCAGTGAAGTCAACAGCAACTGGGGTGTGTTTGGAAAAGTATGCAGGCTTGACAAGCCTTGTGTGGTGGATGAAGTTCATCTCCGCAGATTTGATGGGCTTTTGGTAAAGATTTAGAATTGGTACGAGTGGCATTATTCTGATGACGTGCTTTCCCTTTTGCCTGTCAGTAATAAAATTATTTTGATGTGAAGGAAAATGGAGGTGTTCATCGCTGTGTTGTTGCAAGTATCACTGTTAAAGCTCCTGTCCGTGAAGCATGGAATATTGTGACTGCCTATGAGAGTCTCCCTGAGTAAGCAATTTATCTAATTACTTTATTCTAGAGTTTACCAAATTCTGTTGAAAAGTGTGTAGTAAAATGTGAACACATCTGATGTTTCATATTTCTAACTTGATTTTACATGATATCACTGTGTAGGATAGTTCCAAATTTAGCAATCAGCAGAATTTTATCCCGAGACAACAATAAAGTTCGTATTCTTCAGGTACGTGGCAATGTGAATGAAGTACTGTTGTAGGAGTGAGAATAATAACTGTGCTCATTGGTTCTAGTTTGTTTGTGAGCACTCCATTAACCTTACCGACCAATTTTTTACCCTTACCATCTATTGTTAATGAAACACTTGATCTATTTAGCCCCCTTGGCACAAGTTGAACTTGATTCCACTTTTATCTATAAAATGTCCAATTGATGTAACTTCTGGGTTTAATCAATATGCAGGAGGGGTGTAAGGGTCTGCTTTATATGGTACTTCATGCTCGTGTGGTGCTAGACTTGTGTGAACATCTTGAGCAGGAGATCAGTTTTGAACAGGTTGAAGGGGACTTTGATTCATTCCGGGGAAAATGGATTTTTGAGCAACTAGGGAATCATCACACTTTGCTGAAGTACTCTGTGGAGTCAAAAATGCGCAAAGATACATTCCTTTCTGAAGCAATCATGGAGGAGGTTTGTCAATTAATTTGGCACATACAAGGTTTTTTGGTAATCTGCCTAGGTTATTTCCAATATGTTAATTAGTCTAGCACTGGAAAAGATGCTCATACACAATGCAGTCCAACCTAGATCAACGTTCTGATAGGAACTGGAAAGAAGCTCAATTATCAAAAAATACATTACTTTTACTATATTATATTTGACCTATTGAGGAGGTGGGTGATATTATTTTGCATGTATCTTTGTTCTTTTTAAGCCTTCTACCCCTCTACTAGTATTAGGTAAATTCTGAGTTGTAAGGTATGATTTGAATATATGAATTGTTGTTACTGATACATTCATCGCTTATCATTTAAGGTTATTTATGAAGATCTCCCATCAAACTTATGTGCAATAAGAGATTACATAGAGAACAGAGAGGCATCCAATTCATCGGAAGAGAGCGACCAGGAAAGCGATTCAGCGTATCAAGTTGTTTCATCTGACTTTGAAGCTGATGATGGATATAGTTCAGCTGAGGAGAGTTCTAATGATGATGTTGAAAGTTCATCATATCAACAAAGGCCTAGGGTTCCTGGCTTACAGAGGGACATTGAAGTTCTAAAATCTGAAATCTTGAAATTTATTTCAGAACATGGGCAGGAGGGATTTATGCCAATGAGGAAGCAACTGCGTCTGCAGGGAAGGGTGGATATTGAGAAGGCTATAACCCGCATGGGTGGTTTCCGAAAGATAGCCGTGATGATGAACCTATCTCTGGCTTATAAACACCGCAAACCAAAGGGTTACTGGGACAATTTTGAAAATTTGCAGGAGGAGGTGGGGTGCGGAATTTCCAATTTAGTTACTGGATGCCCTTGACTTTTCTGAACTCAAATGTTCTTACTTGATTCTCTACTTAGCTTTTCCCACTATTTTACCTCAAGCTAAAACAGCATAATAAGTCATCAATATATTGCAACCATGAGACAACGACATTACAGTTTTTTTATTACATTCATTTCTTGTAGTTATGACATTATTGACGCCTCTGATCAGAATGTACCCCATGTCTTTGTACAGATTAGTCGATTCCAAAGGAACTGGGGAATGGATCCTTCTTTCATGCCCAGTAGAAAAACATTTGAGCGTGCAGGTAGGTCCAATATTGACTTCACCACTTAGCATAACTCTGTTTTGCTCCCTTTTCAGTCTAAAGAAGAAAGATTAATCCCTAGCAGATTTTTATCATGGTTATATCGAAACTGTTGCCATTGGTTATAAGCTTCTCCATTTATCATTTCAACTGACAAGACATGGAATTTATCACAGGGCGCTATGATATTGCTCGCGCACTAGAAAAGTGGGGTGGTCTACTTGAAGTGTCTCGCCTTCTATCTCTTAAGGTGAGACATAGAAGCAGACAAGATATAGTTGCCAAGGACAAGAGAACTGATCATGGAGAATCATCGTCACCTCATGTATACAGTGAGAACAACACCCCATCAAAACCATGTATTTCTCAAGATACACATAAGTGGCTTTCAAAGCTAAAACATATGGACATAAACTGGGTAGAATAAATATCGCTTTACTGATGCTTCTCTTTTACGATTTCATGGTTCTACTTGTAATTTTCCTCCCTTTTTTCTTTTTATGTTCTGATTTGGTCACTTTGGGGTTGAGAGTTGAGGGAAGTAATTGCAAGTGGTTTGTATCAAAACGAGGGGCAAAAAAGAAGAGGAGGTAATTGCAAATGATGGCATTTTATTTCACAAATCAGGTTTCAACTCCGCAAATGGATGTTTGAAAGGATTGATTCCAACCTGTGATATATTTTTGTAATGTAGTTGCAAGTTTAAATGAATATGAAACATTACATGGCTTTATTATTGAGAAGTTGCTTGTCGTGATTATTTTTTAGAGTTTTATTTCTTGCCTCTTGCCTGATTGATGACCAGAGTATTTTTATTTTGTTTCTACCGATATATATATATATATATATATATATATATTTCAAGTGCAAAATATTATCACTGTTATATGAGAATAGCATAAAGTGTAATGTGGTTTATTAGTGCATATGAAATCTTATTAGAATGAATACAAAACACAATGGAATTTAAGTACAAAAATAATTTCATAATCATATCGTTAGAAGATTTGAAGCAAACTCACTTGATAAAATACTCTTTATATCAGGTGCTTATAGTATCCCTTTTAAAGTAAAATGAATGTTCTCTGTGCGACCAAGTGTTTCCTATGTATCGGGCGGATAAAATCTAGCTATATTAAATTGTAAGTTAAATCTCCCAAACTCAATAGCTTCCTACGATGCTATTATAATACTGCTTCTGCTCCTAATATGAAAGTTAGTTAGGGATTGTATTTAAATATAAGATTTTAATTTATTTTGTCTTTTTGTCTTTTTTCAAAATATTCCTATTGATTGTAAGGATTTCTATTAAAGGATAATTTCAATAATCTAATGCATATGATTGAAGAGAATAGCATAGGTATACGAACATATATTTGTAACAAATAAATAACTTAATTAATTTTCTTAATAGTTTAAAATTAGTTATCGAGCTTTTATATTAACGAAGGAGATAGCATGTTTTATAAGTTTTGTGTAATTATTTTAATTTAATAGAATATAGTTTTAAATATACGTATGTTTAATTTCTTTTAAAAGTAAATGGCAAAAAAGAACATATGATTTGGGGGGGGGGGGATTTTGGAGGAGGATTAGAAGATTTGCTATTAAAACTATTAGTGAAATACTATCTCTGGTTTTTAATATAAGAACTTGTTCAAAATTTAATTCAATATTAAATATCAGACTTCAGTTCACTTTATCTCTAATATTTATTTATTTATTTGCTAAGTAATTCTTTCTGTGATTGCACATATTAAACATCTTTTATTAAGTGATAGTTCAAATACATATAATTAATTTTGGGGATAACAACATTTATTTATTACAAATAAATAATTTGATTAGTTTTTTTAATATTCGTAAATTAGTTATCTATCCTTATATCAAGCACTACAAATAGTATTGTACTTTTTATCAAAATAAGTTTTAGAAGACTATTTTCTCATCAATGAATTTAGTGACTTTGTACTTAATTAAATATCAATAATTCATGAAAATTTTAGCCAAACGCATACCTAACGTGTTGTCTCGAAGAAGAAATTTTTTGAGGATTTTTGGATTTTCTAAAAATCTATATATATATATATCATACTTATATAACATATTATTCAATTGAATTATACACCACCTCTATTTATTAATAAAAAGCTTGATAATTAATTTAAAAATATTAAAAATTGGTTATTTGTCACGAATGTGTGTTGTGTTTTAAATTATCATTTTAATAACGTACATTGAATGATTCTTAGTAAAAATCTATTACAATTAATAAAATAAGAATATTTTAAGAAAAGATAGGAAAAAAAAATAAAAGCATATTTAGGTCACATAATCTAAACCCCCGCTATCTCAATTAAGGACCGGTGGTCAATGATGCTAAGGGGTGTTTGGCAAAACTAAAACCACGGTTTCAGAATCACTTTTCCGTAAACGAAGTAACCTCCTCCACATATTTACTTTGTAATCCGAAAAACCTTCTGAACATGGTTTTGTTTCTATTCCAAACACCCCTAAACCTTCAAAGAATATATAATTGAGGACATCAAGAAGTGGGATTTCGTCCTAGCCAGTATTTTCAATCACTTTTATTTAGTAGTCATCGTGTTGGCCAAAAAAAAATAATTTTGTTTTTATCTCTCATGAGTCATGAGCATGTAACCGTGAGTACGGGAGTATGGAGAGAAACCCAAAAAAAAAAAAAAAAAATTATAAAATTAGTTATAACCCCAAACTAAACGCAATCTCGTCCCCGAGACGAAGCAGATCCAATTTTTTTCTTCGTCGACGAACAAGCATTCCCCACTTGGTCAAGCTCACTATCGGACGCCGTCCACCGTTGTCAGCCAGGCGTGGTTGCTCTCCGGCAAGTATTGAAGAAGGTTCGGACCCTAGGGCTTCTAGTGTAGTCGTTTGAATGCTGACGCTTTTGAATCTGGGAATGATGACGCTGTTGACGCTGGGAATATTTACAGATTGAGTTTGGATTTTTTTTACTTTGATTACTAGTTTTTGCTTGAATTGGTGTGTGATTGGTTATCTTGCTTCTGCCCCTCTTCATTATGATTCCTAGCGACTTATATGGTCTGGATCGTGTTGATGTGCAATGTTGGATTTGTTGTGCGTTGGCATTCTGCTTGTTAGTCTCATTATATGATCATCAACTTGGAAAATTCTCAAGGTATCTGTGATACATGATCAGTTAAAAAGTACTTGGCTCGATTTTTTTTTTTTTGGACTGATACTTGGCTCGATTTGTGTCTGGCAATTTAGAAGCTTGAGTTTAGATCATTTCCTGCTGCTCATTGGTCTGTGAATTTAGAAGCTATTGACAGAAACAATCAATTGCTCACCTTACTCACTCTAGCCAACACATTTCATGATCATAAACTTCAAGATGAAATTGGAAGATGATAAATTGCAACATTGTCATCATTTCTTATCCTTCAGTGGCTTGGAGGAGTTCCCTGAATCAATTGGCTTGCTAAGGCATCTTCGTTAAACTATCTGGAACAGAAGTTAAAACGGTATGATATCAACTGTGCATATTTGAAAGATTTCGGTGTGGTCATTTGCGTTATATAGGTCTGCCTATGCATATTATTTGGAATGTTTGAATGCTGTGACTTCTTTTTCTCTCCTTTTGTTTGTCACTTATGCATATCTGTACTCCAGGGACTCAGCAATGGCGACCACTGCTTGTTTCATCATTGTTAGCAGAAATGATATTCCTATATACGAATCTGAAGTTGGGACTGCTACTAAAGTATGGCTTTTGATTTAAATTTAATCCCTTTCGTCTAATTGCTGAGGTTGACGGATCATTTGTGAGGTTGTGCCTCAATGAAGTTATAGATCTTTAGAAGATAACAGTTGAATGAAAATGTAATGAGGAATTCAGTTTGCACTTCATTGCACTCTCTGACTATTTTGGCTCTGCAAACAAGAAAAGTGAATACTTTTTTTTTTTTGCACTTCATTGCACTCTCTGACTATTTGGCTCTGCAAACAAGAAAAGTGAATACTTTTTTTTTTGGTGAGAGAAAAGTGAATACTTTGTATGCAAAGAACTTAATTGCTGAATCTTTTCGATTTACTTTTCTTCTACTCTTTCCTCGGAGGTGTGTGGGGATTCTGCCAGTACAATGGTTTTTTTTTTTTGGGTATTATGCCAATGTGATATTTTAATTTTAATTGGCTAAATATGTGAATGTATCCTCTGTTTTTCTTTGGGGTAATTGTGTAACTTTTAACTATTTAATGACAGAGAGAAGATGCTGCTCAGCTGCATCAATTTATACTGCATGCTGCTCTTGATATTGTGCAGGACCTTGCATGGACTACTAGTTTTCAATTTTTTATAGTAAAAAGTATGCTCAATACCATCCTATACATGATTTTCTTGAATTTCTTGACATTCAATTGAGCATAGTCTACTTGATGGCCCAAAAGAGCATATCATCCTACTTTTCGTTTCACTGTTTTTGTTATTTTAGACAGCCTCGATAGATATCATGAATTTTATTTTGCCAGGGATTCAGATGAAAGCTGAATTCCATTAATAGTTTTAAAAAAATTTCCGTTCAACTGGTTTGGTTTATTATTCAAGGACTCTATTGTCTACTTTACCTGTGAGAATGAATCCAAAATAGGTTCCTAATGTTTTGCTAGCTGGTTTTTCTTCAGCTATTTCATTCGTTCTATGTGTATATTTGGTTGACGATAATTTTATCAGTTAAAAGAAATTAAAATTGCAAAAATGTCTCCAGCTAAGCTCTCTTCGTTAGAAACTTTCATTTCATGATTTACGAGACTCGTGAAGTAATTTGTATGTCTGGGAATTTGCAGATTCTTCTTAATCCCTTATATTTGCCTGGCTCTCGAATCACATCATCACATTTCGACACAAAAGTACGAGCCCTGGCACGGAAGTATTTGTAGAAGCCACTATTGAGCTCTTGTGGTCTGGGGGACAACTTGCAAACCCATAGCTTTGCTGCCAGAGTCCACGCGGTTCATTCTTCGTTTACTTGAAATAGTTGTATCGCATTATTATAATTATTTTTATTTTTATATGATTTGGCTGTAAGGGTAGCTTTTTGCTCGCTATCAGTAACATGGTGGTTTTGGCTTTGAAGTGAGTGTATGGGTAAACGATGTTATTGTAGTGACATCCATTTGCAATACATGCTAAATTTGAGTGGCTTCGTGGTTGCAAAGACGAAAGCTCGTAACTGCACACCGTTTGAAGCCCCTCTAAATTGGGATGGCCTTACTTGTAGCAATGACGTGCGCGCGTTTGTTTCCACCCACTTTGATATTCATGAAAGCAAGAAATCAATGACCCATTCTCAGACTTTTGGCTTCTTGGTGCAACATGCATTGACTATTTCACTTTAACGCATAAACAAAAACGCAACAAAATAAAATCTCAACAATGCAAGACGCGAGCAAAATATAACTCACCTGAACAAAATGCACAAAGATATTATTATGGCTCAATTAGCAACCTCAATGTCCTGTGATTGACTGATTGAAATTAAACACAACAATAAATCTCAATTCTAAATGCAGTACTGGGGGAATCATAGGCAGTAAATATATTTGCAGTACTTATTGCATACAATCATTATTACCCAACTTCCTTACAAACATACCCAAATGCACAGAAAAAATTTAATCCATTCCATCCTTACAAGTTTCGAAAAACCTCTCTGTAAACAACATATATAGCTGATGACTTTTTTTTGGAGTCAGTATCATAACAAAAAAAAAAATCTTTAAAATCCATCTATTCTTCTTACCCTTGAAAGAGCAAAATATAATTGGCCATGTGTAAAAACAAGCTTACATAGATATAAGCCCACATGACATAATGATAAACCTTGACTTTTATTATGGTCATTGCAAATGAAAGTGTGATTGGAAATGTCTTCTTTTCATCAGGAAGGCAAACAACATTTTAATGGATTCATATCCATTCGGTGAATTAGAACTTTTGATTAGGTTTTGAACCATTTAATGTTATGGCTTCAATCACAAATTTACTAAGATGACTAATACACAATCTGGTTCCATTACATAATCCTGCAGCTTGGTCAATATTTCTTAAAAACATCACAGTTGCTCCTACCTTTAAAGTCAACTCATGCAAAGGCATCCCAGATCTACTGATTGTATTAAAAAATTCAGTTGTATGGAGATCATCAAAACCATCACTGTCTTGAGATGATCTGCAAATTGTATCACAACTAAGATACTCGATTGATTCCCTTGGCGACAAGGAACACATGTAATCATTCACTTGATTAACAAATTCAATCGTTGATGCTAAAATTGCCCTATCATTGAAATAAATGGTATTTGTTAAATTATTTAGTAGATTTGGATACGTCGATGACACAATTGTAGCCACTGGATCTGTACAATCACCTATTAGCAATTCATGAGGTATTTCAATCTCTACTATACCATCATGTGGCGTTCCTAACTTACCATCCCCCACATCTAAAAGCCACTGTGAGAATTTTTGCAATTGACTATAGTCATTGTCAGATGAAGTTGAAGATAGTCGCATATTCTTAGTCAGTTGGAAGATGAGGCAATGATCCCAAAGGTAAGATGAATTAATACATGCATTAACAATATCTGCTCTTGTACCATTTGGGATTATTGGAAGTATATGATGAAAATCACCACCCATCAAAATGCACTTGCCACCAAATGGATAATTAACATGCATAATATCCCTTAATGATCGATCAAATGCTTCAATGCAGTAACGCTGAACCATGGGAGCTTCATCCTATATAATTAACTTTGTGCATTGAATTAAATTTGCTAATGGAGAATTTTTCTTGATATTGCACAGACTCTTCATTCACATAAATGGGAATTGCAAACTTTGAATGTGATGTGCTACCAGAGGGTAATAGTGTGGCAGCAATTCCGCTTGAAGCAACTGTAAGAACACTATTTCCTTTGGCATGAAGAGTTGATGTTAACCCATTCCACAAAAATGTCTCCCTGTGCCTCCATACCCGTTTACAAAGAAAAAAGCTCCAGTTGAAGAAGTCAGTGAAGGCAAAACGGTCTCATAACTTAGTTCTTGCAATATGAGATAGTTTGAAACATCAATTATTGGACATGACAAGGAGTGGGAGGGAAGGAAAATCTTGAAAACTCTTTCCATTTTCTTGCAGAGATAATTCAATCTCTTTAAGGGCATCTTGCTTTCTCTTAAAATCTAAAGTTTCAACACCTACAACATTGTAGCAAAAAAGATTCATTTTATAAGCATAACAGTAAAACTAATGAATAAGTATAAATCCATTCAACATATATAATATTAGAACTTGTGTAAGAAAATATAAAATGCAAACTTACTTGAGGACAAATGATCAATTTGTGATGTGTACAATAAATCTTCTAAAAGTATTCCTGAAATCTCTTTCCAAACAAAGTCAAGTCGACTTAAGTAAGAACAAAGAAGCATGCTTACAAACATCTTCCTTAATAGCCTACCAAGTGTCCAATGGAAGCCTCTTTTATAGCAGATATGTATTCATTGTCATTATCAAGTAATCCAAGTGCAAAACATGCATATCTAAAAGTGGGATAAATAATACCATCAACAGTTCCAATATCTTCAAATGAAGAAGGACCTTTAACTTTTGTCAAAAGAATAGGAAGGTAGTAAAGTTCTCCAGATGATGATGGTGCATGGATAATTCTGCCAACTGCAAATCTTTTTTTTTCTATGTTTCCATAATCGCTTACTCCTTGATAAACATAATGAAGTGGAAACTCAGAACGTGTTTGGCAAAATCATCCTCCTCATTTTCTTCATCCAAGCAAGGAACATTGATTCACACACTTTGGGCTTATCCAAGAGTTCAGCAACATCATCAGTATTTGAATAAATAACATTTTGCTGATTGGAGAGATGAAAACTCAACCTTTTAATAGCAAGATACCGATAGTGTATATCAAAAGCAAAGATTCGCCAAGCTGCTTCACACACACACACACACATGAAGTTGTAATATTGTTGAATCTCATCAATTAGTTGCTTAGCAATTTCATCTTGTTTGCTATCATACATTAAGGCAACCACCCGATTAGTCACTTTAGTAATATGCTTAAATAAGTACTTGATAGCAGTAGATTGATTGCACTTCTCAATATTAATATGAGCTTCAATATTCAACAACAATGCAGGGTTGTAAGGAACAACAAATCGATTGTCCAAATGATGGCCTCTCACTTCTATTGTTCTACCATCATATCTTCTTATATATGTGGGATATCCATCCTCATCAATAATTGTCTCATTAACAAACTTCTTAGAAAAATATTTTCTACACTTGTTATCCTTCATGCAAGGTGATTTAGGATTCATTCGACCACAAGGCCCATGTACCATATATCTCTTCACCAATTCATTAGTTTGGGACTTGAGTGCCTATCAGGGATTGCTGCAGATATGATATTGTCCATATTGTTTTGATCTTTTAATTTATCACACTCTTCAAGCCACAATAGTATATAAGCATGAAGAAGACCTCTTTTTTGAAACTCTATAGTATACACCTCTATATTCATATGTTACACTGATTACAAGAAATTAATTGTAATGAAAGAAAAATTCATTCATACCTGCACATAACACCAAATATCTTCTTCTTTTTAATGGTTGACATCAATGATTTGAGTTTTATTTGGAATGCCCTACTCAAGATTTCTGGTCTATGTGGTGAAGACACTGAATATCTTTCACAATATCTTGTTATCTCAAGCCAAGCTGGATTACATGTGAAAGTGATAAATATATCTGGATATCCTACAAATCTACATATGGCCGTAGCATCCTTGTAATTTTGAATCATATAACATGCACCTCCTATAAAAGAAGAGGGCAAAATTATACATTTCCTAGTTGAAGATGCACTTCTCTCTCCACTCAGCAATGCATCGTGTACATACGATTTTTTTTTCAAAAAAAAAAAAACTGTAATTAAATCTATATAATAATATATTATTATTAAAAAATAAAAAAATAAAAGTCATCTTTTCCACCGAATTCGGTGGAAAAGATAGGGAGGGGGAGTGGTTGCATTAATGAGGAAAGAATTTTGGAAGAAGATTTAATGAACAAAGAAAAACATGGGGTAAGGTTGAAAAACAATGGAAGGGTATTAAATGAAGAAGGAAAAGGGAGGAAGAAGCGGATGGAAGTGGAAAAATGAGAAGGGAGCGATGGAGGGATATAAATGAGGGGGGTGTTAAACGTTCTCACCAGTTATATTTTCAAGCCAGAAGAAAAGAGATAGAGAGAGAGAGAGCGAAAGACAAGAAAAAGAGAGAGAGAGAGAAGAGAAGAGAAGAAGAGAGCGAGAAGTTGAGCTGAAATACGTGATCTGATAGTCGGGACAAGTTTTGGGGATCATTTAGGTACACAAATATACTTCTCTTTATCAAATTTCCTTTATAAATATTTCCTATATATTTATAGCTTTATATTATTAGTATCATTATAATGTTTAGAGAAAATTTTACTGTGGGTATAGAGTAAATATAGAGTTTTGACAATATATGACCGTAGAAATTTAAAGATACATTATTAAGGAATTTTAATCGGTTTATTTTTGTTGAATGATTATTTTGAGAATTTTAAACTAAGATTTTAGTTGAAAAGTTTATTATTTAGACTTGTAATATGTTTTTACCGATTAAATTTGAGTTAAATAATTTATTTGAGTTATTTAATATATTATGGAGGTTTTAATCGGTGTAAATATTGAATAAGTCAAATATATATTTTTGAAATAATTTTTGAAGGCTTGAAAAATTATAAATTGAGAATTTTGTAAAATTAAATAAAGCTACAGTTTGTTTATAATTAAAAATATATATATACTTTTGTTAAATTTAAATAGCCTTATATGTAAATTATGTTTCAAAATAATATCTATTATAAATGCCTAGATTTGGGAGAGTTAATATATTTATGTAATTTTGGTTTAGAGAGTAGTCTTAGAATTTTAGAGTAGCTTTGGAGTAGTTTTGAGTTTATATTAATAAATATTTGTGTGCAATTTTGTAGACTTGAGAATTTTGGAGTAATCTTTGTGTGAATTTTTGTAAGCTAAAGAGTACCAGGTAACTCTGAAAATTCTTTCTTGTACATGTGAATTGTGTATGATTATATTATGAATTTACTATATTTTTATATATTGAAATACAATATTGTGATTTTTCA